TTTATTTTCTTTAAATATATCCTTGTCTAATTAGATTTAATTTTATTAGAAAACTCATAGTAAAAGCTAATTTGTGGTTTAGTTTTAGAAAAATTATTTTGTTTTATATATCAATTAATAAATATTTTTTATATTAGTAATTCTTATATAATTAGATTTTCTTTTATTAAAAAATTTATAATAATAGATTTTAGTGTCTTAAATGTTTTTTTATATAAATAAATAAATATTTAGAGTACTAGAGGGCGATTTTTTTTACGATTTAGAGGGCGATTTTCAAACCTTAGGGTTCTAGGGTTTGCAGGGAAGACCCCTCGATGGAGGAGGGACTTCCCTCCTCTTATACTGTGGGTAGTATCCCAACCCCTCCCTCCCCATCTCGGCCTTCATAGAGTTCATTATTTCATGGCTCTAAAACCAGTTTTACTCCTCTAACGTATTATAGTGAGAATCGGAATAAGGAGTGTGTTATCATTGAAGATGAGGATATTGCAGATGAGATGCGTTTTCTGGGAGAACTCAGTTTGTGGTCTCGCTGAAGGATGGATTTTTTCAGGTACGGCTACCTGATGAAAAAGATGTATTGCAGATCATGTCAAGGTTCCATACGTATCAAGGGAGGGCTGTAATTGTCAAGAAGTGGCATAAGAGTATTTTATTGGAGAGAGATATGTTAGCCACGGTGCCGATTTGGATAAACCTCTATGATTTACCTATGCATGCTCGAAGCGCAACTTCTATATCTAAGGTAGTATGATATAAAGTTATGTCGTGAAAGGGGTTTGTATGTTTGAGTTTTGGCTGAGATGGAGACCACAAAAGGTTTCCCAGATGTGATTAATACAAAACTGCATGGATGTCAATGTAAGATCCAAGTAGAGTATGATTGGAAACCAAGGCTTTGCAAACTGTGTAAGAGCATAGAACATAGTGAGAAGATGTGTCCTTTGAACAAAAATAAGGTTGTGAAGCCAAAAGTTACTGGACAATGGGTGATCAAGACAGCAGTTAGTGATAAGGTTATTGAGAGTATTGATCCCAATAATGGTAAGGATCCAGAAGTGGAAGTATTATCGATGGAAGTGGGGAATTCTTTTATACAGCAAGAGATTTAAGAATCTTTATCAAAAGCTAGTCCGGATTTGGAAGGGTTTGCACAAGTTGCATCTAATTCTAGATTGAAGGCCAAGGAAAAAGGTGTGATGGTGGCTCAATCCCATTTGGCATCTCCGAATGCCTTCCAATTACTTGGTGATTGTACTGACAGTCAGATTCAAGAGGCGGTTGATGTTGATAAGGTTGTGATTTCTAACACTGAGATTCAGGTACATGGGATTGTGGATCCTATAGTAACTGAAGAAGTAATGTGTGAGAAATCCACACCTTCTAAGATATTTATTAAAGATTCTCCACAAGGAGGAAGGGTTGTATCCTCCAAGAAACAAAGGAAAAAACTCAGGAAGATGGAATTTGATTCTAGTTATACTAGGATCACAAGAGGAATGAGTGCGGGTGGGACGCTCCCACCATCTACTGTTTAATGATTGGTCTTTGGAATGTTAGAGGGCTCAACAGGAGGCACATGCAGATGGAAGTTAAGGCCTGGTTGAGTAAGTTCTCTATTTCATTGTGCTGCTTGGTAGAGACTAGGGTTCATAGTGATAAGTTTCAGAAGATTGTTGATAGATTAAGATCTAATTGGACCTGGATTAATAACTATGACGTTGTGGTAGGGTGCAGAATTTAGTGTGGCTGGGATCATACTAGATTGAATGCCATTATTCTTGAGGTTAAGAACCAAATGATTCTTTTGAAGGTAGCTGTTACAGGGTCTTCTCTTCAATTTTATGTTGCTTGTGTGTATGTTGAAAATACCCTGATTAAAAAAAGACAGTTTTGGCATGATTTATTGCAATGTGCTCATAAGATTTATGGTCCTTGGTTGCTGATTGGTGATTGGAACATAATTAGATTTAATTCCGAGAAGAAAGGAGGTTTAAGACACTCTCCTACAGTGCTACATGATTTTAATTATACCATTGATCAACTATTGCTCTCTGATATCCCTGTGGCAAATAGGGAATATACTTGGTGCAACAAGAGATTTAGTCATAGAAGGATCTATGCTAGACTTGACAGGGGATTAATGAATCAGGCTTGGGAGCAATTATTTCCTAATTCTCAAATTATTTTAACTCCTCCTTTGATATCTGATCATCGGGGTTTGTATTTTCAGGTTCCTTTTAATATTGTTGATGGACCCAAGCCTTTTAGGTTTTTATCAGTATGATAAGCAGCCTATTGTCATGGGCCTAGAGATTTGGCGTAGCGGCACAGCCCGTGCGGCACCAAGGCGTTGCTACAGCTCGCGCAAGCGCCCTGGTCAGCCACCACGACCTGCCCTCCCAAGGATACATGCTGACTGGTTTCGGCCTGCCATGGCCTCGTCAGGGGAACGGCTCCAGCTCCCGACCAGTTTGTGCAGGGATGGCCAACTCCCTTCTTCATAGTCAAGTCCACGACCAGCGACAAGCACCTCGAACTGAACCGAGTCGACCTGCCTGAACTCTGAAGAGGTACCATCCTGTGCTCCTGCACGCCCCTTCCCTAGAACCATTCCCAGTCAAACTCTGCTCTTTGCCAGCCAGCATGCGTGTCTTCCATCCTCCAAGCGTCTTAGGAATCACTTCGTGACATTCTCCCCCACCCAAATCCTGCGACGTCCTCGTCGTAGTGCGGCGCTTCACTACTGCGTCCACTCCCTTCTAAAGTCTGCCTCCATGCGGTATGCTCGCCTTCCCACCATCGCTTCCTTGTGCAGCTCCCTGCACTGCACTCGCCCAATGATAGGCCTCGGACCAAGGGGACGTTCACTCCTCAAGGACGTGACTCTTCTCCGTCATGCCGCCTCCGCGACATCCCGAGCAAGCAATGGCCTCCTGCCGACTTGATGCTCGCCCTTCACCATGGTTTGCATCACCCAAGGACTAAGCACGAACTTTGGTGCGCGCGGCCCTCCGGCCCTTCAATGCGCAACTTCAACGGACGCCTCTTCCTGGGGAGATGGAGGCTCTCCCCCCCCAACTGCATTGATTCCTCCTCATCGACGCAACTTCAATGCACCGTCTTCATTCTCTGACCTCTCCCAGACCGACAAGGGGGCACCCCACCGTGCTTTACCCCAAGTCCTGCTCTGATACCATTTGTCACGGGCCTAGAGATTTGGCGCAGCGGCACGGCCCGTGCGGCACCACGTTGCTACAGCTCGCGCAAGCGCCCTGGTCAGCCACCACGACCTGCCCTCCCAAGGATACATGCTGACTGGTTTCGGCCTACCATGGCCTCGTTAGGGGAACGGCTCCAGCTCCCGACCAGTTTGTGCAGGGATGGCCAACTCCCTTCTTCATAGTCAAGTCCACGACCAGCGACAAGCACCTCGAACTGAACCGAGTCGACCTGCCTGAACTCTGAAGAGGTACCATCCTGTGCTCCTGCACGCCCCTTCCCTGGAACCATTCCCAGTTAAACTCTGCTCTTTGCCAACCAGCATGCGTGTCTTCCATCCTCCAAGCGTCTTAAGAATCACTTCGTGACACTATGGTAACTAAACTTATCTCTGAGGCCTGGCAGAGTGCTACTGATGGTAATCCTATATAGAAGCTATTGCACAAGTTTAGAGTGGTTTAAATGGCAGTGAAACAATGGAACAAATAAAAGTTTGGTTCTGTTTTTTAGGAGGTCATTGCTTGCAAAAAGATTTTGGAAGAAACTCAAGTTAATTTAGCTACTCAACCTCTAAATGAGGAGTTAATTCAGAAGGAGGCTACTTCCAGGCATAATTATGAGTGTGTTTTGTCTAATGAGGCTATCCTGTTAGCTCAAAAAAGTAGAATTCAATGGTTAAAGGAGCAGGACAGGTGTACTAAGTACTTTCATTAGAAAATCAAGGAGCATAGAAGGGGATTATGGGATTATTCGAGACAGATTCGTTTAATATTTTTAGAGGGTTTTCTCTAATGACAATCTTGTAACTTCTCAGCCAATTTCTGATCACATTAGAAGAACCCTTGGGGAGGTAGAAGCAGGTCATATTGAATCTGTTATTTCCAGGGATGAGGTCAAACGAACTATCCTCTCTGTGGGACCTGATAGGGTACCTGGTCCTGATGGTCTTACTGTAAGATTCTTTCAACAATATTGGAACATTGTTGGAGATGACTTTACTGATGCTGTCATCCATTTCTTTGAAAACCCTTCTACGGGAAGAGGAGTTAATAGCTCTTTTATCACTCTTATTCAGAAGAAGAAGGATGCTATGAAGGTTGAGGATTTTTGACCTATATCATTGTGTAATGTTGTGTATAAGGTCATTACCAAGATCCTTGCTAATTGATTAGCAAGTGTTTTGAGTACAATTGTAGGGAATGAACAGACAACTTTCGTTTAAGGGAGGAGGATATAAGATAATATCATTACAGCTCGTGAACTGGTGAGAGGTTTTGACACAAAACATGTTAAACCCACTTTGGCATGGAAAATTGACTTGAGGAAAGCCTATGACTCTGTGCAATGGAATTTTTTATTCAGTCTTCTAGAGTTATATAGTTTTGGAACTAAATGAATTCATTGGGTGAAGGAGTGTATTACGACTGTTTAGTTTTCCATTTTGGTGAATGGCAGCCCCTGTGGGTAGTTTCAACCTCAAAAAGGATTGAGACAAGGATGCCCCCTTTCTCCTTTATTATTTACCCTTGTCACTGAATATTTTTCTGGTGTGGTTGAGTCAGAAGTAAGGAGAGGCAGAATTGTGCTTTCTGATACTGCAATCAAAGCTGATGATCTTTTGATGGTTGTTAGAGCTAATATGGCTACTGTGCTGTCACTAAATCTGTTAAAAGGAAGAATGCGATTCTTAGGTGTTTGGGATGTAAAGAAGGTAAGCTTCCTTTTACATGCTTACGTCTACCTATTTCTTGAGAAGGGGAGATTGTTCGAAGCTGATGGATAAGGTTAATTCAATCACTACTAGATGGAATGGCTTACACATCTCTTTGGCTGGTAGAGTGGAATTATGCAGAGCTGTGATCACCCCTCTGCTTCACTACTGGACCTCGGTTTATTCTTTACCTGCTGCAGTCATTAATATTATTGAGAAGAGAATGAGGAATTTCATTTGGGGCCATGATGACATTAATCTCAAAATGCATGGTTTAAATTGGAAGAAGTTAGCTGCTCCAAAAGAAGAGGGAGGTATGGGTTTGAGAAGAGTGTTAGATATTGATTTAGCCTCTAAGTGTACTTTGGCTTGGGATTTCCTCTTATCTAAGGATAAAATTTGGGTGGCCTGATTCAAGAATTGCTGCCTAAAAGAGGCTTCTTTCTGGCAGATTGTTCCAAATAGTTCTTCATCTTTTATTTGGAAAACTTTATTGTCAGTTAGAGAGGTTATTAGGAGTAACAGCAGATTTAAAATTGGCAATGGTAATACTATTAAGCTCTTCCTTGATCCATGGTGTGATGGGAATTTCTTATCAGATTTTTATAGTTATAGGGTGCTGCATCGACTCAGTAGGGATAAAAAGAAAAATATTGGAGATTTTATTGATGAAGGGCAATGGAATGTGGATTTGATTCCAGTGGAGTTGCATCAGTTTTTCTTCCAGTATAATATTCAAGGGGGTGCGGATAAATTTTATTGGCACGAAACTCATTTTACTTTCAAATCAGCTTGGCATGCTTGTAGGATTAAAATTCAAGAGGTTTTCTGGTTTAATCTTTGTTGGAATGATGGAAGGCCCAGGTGGTCCGCCTATGCGGTTTTGGTTTTGCAAAATGCAGTCATTACCAATACATACTTGCAGCAGAAAGGCTTTTCTTTGGCTTCTAAATGTGTGCTGTGTTGTAAGAGTATTGAGAGTGGTGATCACCTCTTTTGTTGCTGTGATTTTTCCTGGAAAGTATGGATGAGTTTGGTTGATATTTGTCATTGGATTTTACAACCTTTTGATTCAATTCAAGCGTTGGCTTTGGATTATGCTCTGAAATTCAAAGTGAATTCTACAAGGACAAAGTTTTATAGGATGATTTTCACTGCAACTCTATATTACCTTTGGAAGGAACGGAATGCCAGATTGCATAATGATTTTTATACTTCTCCAAATGATTTAGCTAAGTGTGTTTTCTGGGATACTATGGATATCTTGGGAGTTTGTCTCCAATATGTTGTCTCAGGCTTTTAATAGGTTATGGTTGTTGTGAGTTTGCCTATTCCTACTGGCCTTTGGAAGAGACGCAGTTGTTCCTGCTGAAGTCGGTGTAACCAGTTTCTGGACTGAGCATTACGAGTCACGAGCAAATGAGAGAGAATTACTATTGAGCTTAGACCTGTTTTAAGAAAGAAGGGAACAAGCTCAGAGTTGAATGGTTTATCAACAAATGGTGTCTAGATACTATAATGCTAAGGTTAAGCCAAGAAGATTTCAACCTGAAGACTTGGTACTTCGTAAAGTCACCCCAGTAACTAAAATCCGAGAAAAAGGGAAGTCTTTCGCGAATTGGGAAGGACCTTACAAGGTTATTAGCACCAACAGATCGGGGACATACTGGCTTGAAACTTTGGGAGGGCATCAGATGGAGCACCCTTGGAATGCTGAACATTTAAGGAGGTACTACCAGTAAAAGATTTGTGTGGCTAATTTTATTTATTTTTTAATAATAAAAAGAGCTAGCTTGATAGCAAAGCTTTATCTTCTAGTAATTTTATGTTCTATCTGAATTATTTTACTTTCGAATAAAAAGGGATAGCATGTCTTCTTATGATGGTGTTCTTTAATATAATGGTTTTATTATGATCTTATACATTTTTTAGACTCTTTTACTGTTGCTTATACAATGAGCACAAAATATTTAGTAAAAGGCGAAGTCAGGCTACTTTACCCCCTATTAAAGGCCGAGCTGAGTGAAGCTCGAAAAACTCATTCCCTTATTAAAGGGCGAGCTGAGTGAAGCTCGTAAAACTCATTCCCTTATTAACAATGAGCACAAAATATTTAGTAAAAGGCAAAGTCAGGCTACTTTATCCCCTTATTAAAGGTCGAGCTAAGTAAAGCTTGTAAAACTCATTCCCTTATTAAAGGGCGAGCTGAGTGAAGCTCATAAAACGCATTCCCTTATTAAAGGGCAAGCTGGGTGAAGCTCGTAAAACTCATTATGTATATGTGTATATATGATGCCTACTTCAATATTAAAAAAAATAATAATAAAAAATAAAAATAAAAGAAGAAGAAGAAGAAGAAGAAGAAGAAGAAGAAGGGCAAAACATGCAAGTTCAAACAACACCATTTTAGATAAAAGAAATGTAGATCTACTACTAGAAGAACGACAAAACTCACCGGAAGAACGATGAAATCCACCTAAAAATTACCCAGCAAAGTGAGAAGTTCCAAGCTAAAAAAAAAAATTACAAAAAAAAAAAAAAAAAAAATGGAAAAGAAATAGGAGATTGAGTTAGTCATCAACCTCGCTATCGCTCTCCAACTGAATTGAAGAAAAGTTCAAATCTGAAAACTCAGAAATGGCTTGAGTTCAAAATTGCCCGTACCTTATTGATTGATGGGAGTCTGTTTTTATAGCTAACTGAGCTAAGTGTTTGTTGCAATCTTTAAGGAGAGGTTTCGTCAATAATTTGAATTTCATATAATCAGATCAAAACCACTTTTCGAATTTTATCACCTCATCACCTTATCATCTTATCCATTTGTTCCACCTCTTTTGTTGATTTCCTTATCAGTTGCCCCCCGTTCTTGAATTCTTGCTTGTCGAGAGTCAGGATCGTCATATAAATTCTCACTATTTTCATATATATATATATAAATCTTCATCTGAACTTTATAATATTCATACATACACAAATTTCCTATAGTTAAGATAACTTTTGAACAAGGTGCGCATGTTAGCAAGTAATGAATAGTACTTTAAATGAAACATACCTCTGGTCGCCCACTTTGATAAGGGATAATGTTTGTGTAGAAGGATTTAAAAGCACGTAATGACCTTATCATCCAAAGTAAGGTGTTTTAATTTCTTCCATCAATTTGCTGGTGATAGCAAAGAAAAAACACTTAAGGTTTTATTCTTGCATTAACAAACAAAGAAAATATAGTTTAGTTATTGCTAGGGATTAACTGATGCTCTATTCTCTGGGTGCCAGATGTTGGGTAAGTCATTGCTCGCCCAATGGCTCACCCATTTTAGTGGTTTAGAGCCTGCTTTAGCCCCAACTTCCTTTTTTCTCTTCTTATATATATATATATATATATTACATCAAAGTATTTGATATACTCCAATCAATCACACCCCCGTTGTAAGAGTTTAACTAAGTCCTATAGATTTGGTTCCACTGTGTAGGATTTGTTAAGTGAAAAATAAACAAATAAACTAATAATTTTAACGATAAATAGAAATACTCCTGACATGTGTCTAGTGTATTCTAACATAAATAGAATTCCTGGGCAATGCATTTAATTCTAAAACAATTAGAATTCTTAGAACATCATGAGACCTAATTTCAATTTGTATCTATTACATATTCCTGATTCTAATTTCAATTTGTATCTTTATAAAGCATAGTACCTCCAGTGTTGAAAAAACTTCCTGCAACCTGATAAGTGTAGTGGAACTTTCTCCCTAGATTCTTCAAATTATCCACCTTTCTTTCTCTTTGCTCGTCTCCTATATTTTTATCATTTTGGTCCTCCAAATCCTTTGTTTGAAGAGTTCATGAGCTTGTGCTTGTACCAGTTGGTGAGCAAAATTTTGACATACTTTGTTTTGTTGTAAATCCATCTTACAATCCTACCATATGTTCACATGAGGTGGTTAGTTTGCATGAAGAAACCAGTGATGAAGAAAGATCCAAGTACGGCTTGTCTCCACCATGCAAAAGACTCGTAGAGAAAGTGCAAGACATACAGTGCTCACTTACTTTGGTAGACTTAGAGCGCTTCAGGTCTAAATATTCTATTCCTAAGACTGTTCATCTGCGGCTGACAACTCCTAATGAGAGAGCTTATACTCCTGTTCCAGGCGAAATATGCTTTTATAAGTTCACTCTTTTTTCTGGTCTACAGTTCCCAATTCTTACCATTATCGGAGAGATTCTTAACCATCTTAACCTTACCCCCACTCAACTTACACCAAATGCCTGGAGAGCAATGTTGGGCTGCGTGGTTCTTTGAAGAACTTGTGGCAATGGCTTGTTAACAGTTGCCCAATTCCTCCATTGTTACTTGCCTAAGAGGATGGGTGATTGGTGGTATTTTTTAATCTAGGATAAAAAGAATGAACTCATTACCGAAAAACCATCCAAAAACAAAAAATGGGAAAAACGTTTCTTTTATGTTTTTGGTGACAATTGGGAATTTTCTCCCCATGAGAATCTTTTCCTCGTGTATGGGGTGATCCAAACTCCTCTGGTAAGTTCGGTACTTTATTTTTATTGACGATTTTTTAATTGCTTTCGATCTTTATCTATTAAATTTTCAAAGTTCAAATTTGTGCCTGATGCTTCGTCTCATGACCTCGAAAAAAATTTGAACGCCATTGACCATGGAGTGTCAGATTTTTTCCATTTTAGTAACTGCCCTGGCCTTGTTTGTTCACGGTTTAGGTCCCAAACCTGCCTTTGAATCATCCTCTATAAAAGACGGTACATACTATATATATATATATATATATATATATATATATATATATTATTTATTTATAGAAATTTTAATTTTATTAATTCTGGAAAGACGGTAAATGCCTAGAATTTTATTTAGCCTTTTATCATTATTATTTTTATTATATATATGTGTGCGTGAGAGAGAGGAAAGTTCAAAACAGAATTAACTTTTCCAACACATATTTAGGGAATTAACTTTCCAAACACATATTTAGGAATTAGCTATGTGTGTGCGTGATTGTCTTTACCGTCAGGTCATAATATAGATTAAATATTTATAAAAAGTATCATATTTGATTATGACTTCCAAAACACATATTTAGGAGTTAATCTTGTTAATACATAATTATTAACTAGAACTAACAATGACCTTTATGGCGAATTGCAAGAAACAATGCAATGTGTAATAGGGATTGGACCTTAACTCAGCTGCCATTTTAATAAACAATGCCTTTGAACCCCTTCAATTTTTTTTTTTTTAGGTGTGTTAAAGAAATTCAGTAAGAAAACTCTTTATCAAGCTCGGGAATCAAATGATCTCCCTCTTACCACTACTCTTAAAAGGAAGCGTGAGTCTAGAAGTATGACTAGTGGAAACATACCAGTATTTAACGTCTCTCATCTGCCTTCTCGACCTTCATCTCAATATGTGGGTTCGGTCAATGCTAATATTCGATATGCTACTGTACAAGCTGGTATGTCTCATCCTGTTGTGGAGCCTTTCACTTTCGGCACATCAGTTCTAGACAGCCCAAGTTTTCATTTAAATGAACAAAAAAAATTTTAATGAAGGAAGATTTGACTCGATTGAGTTCTCATCCTTCATTTGAGGTGCCAAAAACGTTACTGTATGATCTTGGCAAGGTTAGCTCCTAATCACTTTGATCACTTAATTTATTTGTGTCCATTTTTTTTTATTTCCTCCTTTTCTTTTAACTTGTAACCTGCATTCTTACAGTGCATCACGAGTACTGTCTGCTTATCATCTCGAGCTATAGAGGTAGAAAAATTATTTCGTGAGGACATGACTTCTCTCCTTACCAAGCGCCAAGGTCAACTTGATTTGGTTACTGTGGAACTTAATATAGAAAAAGATGCACGGGTTAAAGCTAAAGCTGCCTTTCAAGAAGAACGAGTTAGGGCTGAAGGACTTAAATCTCAAGTGGAGGGACTTACCAGAGAGATGGCATTGGCTAGGTCATCAGCCTTTGATGAGGACAAGGCTTCCCAAAACTTCAAAATGGCCCAGACTAGGATGTATATAGAAGGTTTTAAAGCTTTTTGAGATTAAGCCATTTCTGATTTTCTAGATTTGAACTTTTCTTCAATTCAGTTAGAGAGCGACAGCGAGGCTGATGACTAGCTCAATCTCCTATTTCTTTTCCTTTCTTTTTTTTTTTTTTGTTTTAGTTTGCGACTTCTCACTTTACTGGGTGCTGATGAGGAGACAGCCAAGTATAAATACAAGTCCTCTCCTAGTATTGCTCTTAACAGTAGTGGTGGTGAGGAAACGTA